TTCTTTCTGTGTTAAGAAACTGTTTCTGAGTGTTGAAAGTTTTGCTTGAAGAGGGAGACATCGTGTTCCCAGTGTCTTGCACTGGGTAATGAAGCACTGCAATCAAATACTCCTTGGGTCTTGGCTCAGGTTGACCCTGGCCCTGGAGTGAGGCAAGCCCCCTCCTATGAGGACGAGCAAAAATATCACTCCACTTCACCCTGAGTGCTTTCTGGATCTGGGGCTTTAAGGACTCGCTGCTTCAGTCAGCCTTTATCAGCACCAAAGACTATGAAGGTCCCACACGCACACATCCCTTGCCCTCCTGCCTGCTTTGAGCAGGGTCCAGCCTCATTGGCTGGAGGACCAACCCCTCTGGAGGAATGTGAAGCTTAACGTGTGCACTGCTCTGTGTGTGTGTGTGTCTGTGTGTGTGTATGTGTGTGTGTGTGTGTATCCCACTGAGTCTACTTAGTGTGTGTGTGTGTGTATTCCACTGAGTCTACTTAGTGCTGCCCATACGCAAATGGGGCTCATGTGTATGTGTGTGTGTGTATCCCACTGAGTCTACTTAGTGTGTGTGTGTGTATTCTACTGAGTCTACTTAGTGCTGCCCATACGCAAATGGGGCTCGGGGGGGCATCCACTGGTGTACAGGAAACCTACCAATAGCCATACCCCCAAGGAAAAATGGCTCTCCCTCCTCCAGCAGCCATCAACTGCCAATAATCCTTAGCTAGGTGTGGGGACCTTACGAGCCCCTCCCTGATCCATGCTGAAGTTTGGACAGGCTTGTAAACCCCATCCCTTAAAATGGGATCATTCTAGGGGGGCACTAACCCTGGTGACATGTCCTTATAAGAGGCAGAAGCCACACAGAAAAGAAGGCAGGTGGAAACAGGAACTGGAGTGACGTGTGCACAGACGAGGGACACCGAGGTGAGCTCCAGGTTCAGTGAGACCCTGTCTCAAAAAATAAGGTGGAGAGTGACTGAGGACACCTGGTGTCAACCTCTGGCCTCCACATGTGCACATGTGGGTGAGTGCACCCATACCCACACATGCACACATATACATACACACATGAATTCTGGGTCCAAATTGTGCAAGGGGAACAAATATGAACCTAGGAGTTGCCCAGACTTGGGTTTAAGGTTGTACTTTGCCCGTTGTTATGGAGAGACACCTGCATGGTCCCTTTTGTCTGTGAGATGCCCCAGCTGTCCCAGTGTCCCTGGATCTTGATGTGTTTCCAGATTATACCATCCTTTGCAGATTTTTCATCCTTATTTTCTTTGTTAACAACTCTCAGAGAAGTGCTGCTATAGATAAATATACTTTTTATTTATTTCCAGTCCTAATTGATTCTTCTGTCGGGGGCTGTTGATGGAATACAACCTTTTCCCCCTGGTATGAGTCTCTCCCTGCAATATACAGTTGACAGCATGGTCCTGTGATTTCTCTGCTGATGGGTGACCTACTGGTTCTTTAATGGTGGCAGGAAGAGCCTGGAAGAGGAGACTCCACAAGGACTTCAAAATGCTCCTTAGCTAATCCTAGGGTCTGTGTCAGGGACCAGGGAAGGAACTTCCTCCAGGAGCTGGGGACAGGAGGTGGGTCTGAGGTTTACTTGGCTGTCCAGGTATTACCTGCATCTTTGTAGGACTCTGAAGAGCTCAGGCAGTGAGTGGGAACAGCTACATAGTGGGGAGCCCAGGGAGGAGGAGGTAGAGTGAAGGCTGAGGGGCGTGGCAGTGCCTGGGGAAGCCTCCCCTTTGGATGTGGAGCTGTTACCTTGGGTTGGGTGTGATCACGGCCATGGATTCTTCCTCATGGGGAGAGAGGGAGGAACGTGATGCTCATAAGGCTCCGAGAGAGACAGACATGGATGATGGAAGCAGAGGGTGGTGGCACATCCTAGTACCAGAGAGGCTTGCCATCGGGGGATAGACATGGTTCAGAGCACTCATTTTTAAAACCTCACCATGCCACCTAGAGTCTGTATTCCCATCTTAAACTCAGGAAACTGGAGCTGAGGGAGAGTGAACTGTTGTTTGGCTTGCTTGCTGCCTGGCTACTGTGCATCCCCTGGTGGCCTCAGCCTACCCACCTTGATGGGCCACTCTCCTCACTCACATATTCCTTTTCTCTTTGCTGTGATCAGGTATCTAACGAGACGTGCCATTGGAGAGGAAGGTTTTACTTTGACTTGTGGCTTGAGGGCACAGTCCACCATGGCGGGAAAGGCATGGCGGTGGGGGTGGTACCTGGCTGTGGCCAGGAGTGTGAGGCTGCCTTCTCATATCTGAGCAGATCAGGGAGCAGAGATGTCAGTGAGAGGCAGGACAGGGCTATAACACTCAGGGCCCGCTCCTCAGTGACACTCTTCTTCCCACAAGGCTCTACATCCTAAAGCCTCCACAACCTATCAAATCAGCAGCGCAAGCTGGGAAGGAAATTCTCAAACATAAGAGCTTGTGAGGAACCTTTCATACCTGAACCACCACACTATAGACCAGGATTGCTCTCACTTCATCCCCCAGCCCTGCCCTCCTGTGTCCCTCCCAGGAGCCTGGTTTCCACGAATCCTGGGTCCTGCTCCCTACTGACTCTATGCTTGTATCAGACCCCATCGACATGCCCATTCTCCTGTGCTCTCCACTGGGCTCTCAGAACTCATGGTCAGTCTTCAAATCTAGCCCCACCCATACCTCTCCCTGAACACCACAGTCACCTCCTTTCCTGGCCAGAACCTGGTTGAGCCCTGTGCACACCTCCCTGATCCTCTTGAGCCTGACCCTGTGGAAACCTTGACTGCTCAGGTCACCTTGACTCCAGGCTCCCTTGGCACCTGTAGTCAGGGGTCACAGGAGGTCTAGTCCCCCTTGAGATACCATGTGATCCGGCCCTTCTGTGTCCCCTCTGGTGTCATCTTACACTGCCTCTCTTTTTCCCTATCTAGTCATCCCAGCCACCTTGTGCTCGGCCTAGGGCTCTGTGCATGCTGTTCCCTGCCAGCACTGGGCTTCCCACCAATGCCTGAGCCTCACCTCCGTCCTCACATCCTCCACCATCGTTTGTCTTCCCTGTCCCCGCCTCACCTTGGCCCCTGTCCATGATCCTTCATGTCCTTCACTTACTCTGTGATTGCTCCTTCCTTGGAGGTGAACTCTGAAGAACACAGTCTATCAGGGCTGTGTTCCTAAGACCTAGAATGGCACCGGGAACAGGGACGTGATCCATGATGGTTCAGTGGATAAATGAATGACAGGGAAAAGTGAACGCAAACGAGGCAGCGCCTTCCCTTTTCAGATCGATGGGCGTCCTGCAGCTCAGTGGTGTCCCAGAAATGACAGAGGTGCTGTGAAAAGCAATGCATACATGCAGAACGTACGTGTGAGTGTATGTATGTATGTGCGTCTACATGGATATATGTGTGCATGAATGTGTGTGTATGTACAAGTTTGTGTATGTGTGTATAACTGTATATGTATGTGAGAGTATGTGTGTGGTCACATGTGTGTGTGGGGGGGTGAGGCTGTGTTGTGTTGTGTACGTGTATGTGGTGAGGCTACATTGTGTTGTGTGTGGTGATACTGTGCTGTACTGCGGTGTGTGTGTATGTGTGTGCAGTGATGCTATGTTGTATTATGTTGTGTGTGGTGATGCTGTGTTGTATTGTGTTGTGTATGATGATACTGTGTCATGTTGTTTGTGTGGTGATGCTGTGTTGTGTTGTGTGCATGTGTGGTGTATTGTTAATTTCATGTGTGTTGTGTGTATCACATAGTGTGTGTGTGTGTAACTGTGTTGTGGCATGTGGCATGTATGTAGAACATGTATTCTCACTGTCCTAAGCACTCAGGGAACTCATGGAATTCACTACTCACACAGAATGCAGTCCCATCCTTTAACTCAAGCTGGTACGTTTTCCAGGTCCTTCCCTCTTCTCTTTCCTACAGAACGTCACTCTGGTGCCATGGCCCAACCACTCAGGACTTTGAGGATACAAACTTACAGCTCACAAGCTTAACACATAACCACAGTAAAAAAAAGTTGAGACAGCTGGAAATCTGTGAGATCAGTAATGTTTCTAGTCTGCGTGTAATAGCCCACTGGTGGCTATCTGCTGTGGCTTGCAAGAACAGGCTTGCACCAGCCCAGGGTCACAGTAGGCCACCACTTCCTATATTACCCACAGTTCATCAGCAAACCCTACCAGTGTGGACCTCTATCCAACTTAATTTGGTCAATGTTAAATTATTTCCCTTACTTTGTTTCCCAGTGAGAAGAGGCCATTATTATTATTATTATTATTATTATTATTAAAGCCACCAGCTTCAATGTTGATACCTAATGTCCTATGTTTTAGCACTTGGAGTTTTTCTTAAAGGTTTATTTTTTTAAAAATATGTGTATATGCGTTTGTTTTGGGGTGTATGCATGTGACCGCAGGTACCCGTGGAAGCCAGAGGCATCAAACCCCCCAGGAGCTGGCATTACAGGCGGCTGTGAACTGCCTGATGTGTTTGTTGAGAACTGGACTCAGGTCTTTGCACCGGCAGTGCGTGCTCGTAGGCACTGAACCATCTCCAGCCCCAGCACTGGGAGTTTTTAAGCATCAGGGCCATGAAAAGCAAAGATCGTTCACGACTTACTTGTACTCTTATTGTTTCCCGGTAGTGCTGGGGACTAGATCCACGACTTTGTGGACAGGCAAGAGCTTTAGCACAGGGCCACATGCCCAGCCTCACATCATGCTTGGGTGTTGAAACTCAGCTAGTTCAGTGGCCCTTGGTCCCTAGGCCTGAGAACAGCATTTGAAGAGAAGCCAAACAGAAACTAAGATCCTGGGCTAGTGGTGCTGATGTGGGTGGCCGGGGCCTCCTCACAGGTGGAGGCGCACCTGTGCTGTGAGGTCACAGTACTTGCTCTCAGGGCCTTGGAGTCAGTGGAGAAAGATGAGGTGATCTGTGGATGGTTTGTTTGAAAACCGGATGTCCATGGTCACAACCACTTACCTGAGACCAGAGCAAGTGCTGAGGCTGACCACCGAACCAGCATCTCCTTGCACATGTCCATGGTAGTAACAGTGACCCTGAAAGGGAGCCAGGAGAACGTGGGTTCAGTCAACACATCTTCCATTTCCTGAAGCCCTCTCCCTTTGCTTTAGCTATATGACCAGATACACCATGTTATATCAGCAGTTTAATGCTAAGCTCAATGTGACCTGCCAGGGTCTACAGCTGGGGATCTGATTAGAGATTATCAGTAGGACTTCAAAATGCCTCATCTTCTCTCTCCCCTCACTTATGTCCTGTAGGAAAGCCCTGATGCCCAGACTTGTAAAAAATTCAGCAGCAGAGAAAATTACCAGGATATCCCCAGTTTACTTGCATGTAAATGGTCTTTGGTAACAGATAGGGAACTGGGGATGGGGTATTTAAGCACACTGTGAAATGCAATAAAACCAGGCCTAAATGGGTTTAGGAAGGCAAGGAAGCAGTTGGGGGAGGAAGAGAAGAAGAAATCTCACAGAATTACCCATGCATGTCTAGCTCAGTAGGAAGGTCACCAAAGGAGATCTTGTAAGAAAAATATTCCCCATTAGATGGTCCTGTAACAGTCTATTCTCTTTAACAACACCACCACTCCCAAAAAGAAACCATGGCATGGATGCCTCTTTAGTGAAGACAGATAGGTGTCCTGATTCAAGGCTAATTGTATTGTTGAGCACGGGTTGGGATGCAGGTCCAACTGCTGGTGACTGGCAAGGAATGGCCACATACACCCAGGACTCCTCACCCAGGCCTTCAGAACATTAGTGCATGCTGGGGCCCTGCAGCATGCTGGCTTCTGCAGGGAAGGAGCCACCTCTTCTAAGGGGCCAGAGAATCATCACTCACTCAAGTTTTCGCCTGTCTCCACAGTGCCCATGTCCACTCAGGCTCCCTCAGTCCTGGTGACAGTCATTCACAAAGACTACCTTGACTTTGTAAGAAAGGGGACTGGATGGTTTCAGAGATAGGGAAATCTCATGACTTCATAAGAAATGGGCTAAGATGATCTCACCATTACAAAATAGAGGACAGAATTCTGGCATCATCTGAGAGGCAGAGGAAGGAGGGAGATGGGAAGGCTGCAGGGAAGCAGGCTATTCTGTTTGGTGTTTTCTTGTTGATTTCAGAAGCTCTTGATATATTCAGGATATTAATACTTTACCTATCATTATGGGAGAAATGTCTTTAAACTTCACTTTTGTTGTCTGGAGTTTCTGATATTTATAAACTCAAGTTCTCTCTCTCTCTCTCTCTCTCTCTCTCTCTCTCTCGTGTGTGTGTGTGTGTGTGTGTGTGTGTGTGTGTGTATGTGTGTCTTTCTCTCTGAATTTTATGTTAAAGACAGTCTTCTTTGAGGTCATAGGTATGTCATTCATTCATTCATTTATTTATTTAGTCTTTTTGAGACAGGATCTCCCTGTAGCCCCACCTGGCCTGGAACTCACGATGTTGACCAGGCTGGCCTTGAACTCACAGAAATTTGCCTGCCTCTGCCTCTGAAGTACTGGGACTAAAGGCGTGTGTCACCATGCTGGGGTATATATGTCTTATTTTCTCCTGTTTCTACAGTCTTACAATTGGCTCCTCAATCTATCTAGAGTTTATTTAATACCGGAAGTACAGGGCTGGCATCCAACTTTCCTCTAGGAACTAAGACTCAGCCATTGCCCACTAATACCCATCCTTTTCTCATTGATACAGGATGCTACTCTGTCATACACTTTACTAATTGCTTTTCTTGACACTGTAACAAAATGCCTGACAGAAGCTACTTCAAGGAGGAAGGACTTATTTTGGCTCAGGGTTTGAAATAGTAAAGACTTCTTGCAGTGGGAATGTGAGGCTGCTTACTCACTTCTGATAAGGAAGCAGAGGGTGGACAGGAAGCAGGGCTGGGCTATAAAACCTCAAACCCCCCTCGCCCCACCCATGACCCACTTTCTCCAGCAAAGTTCTACCACCTCCCTGGTCAGTGCCACCAGCTGGGAACTAAATGTTCAAACACTGGAGCCTGTGGGGACATTCGGACCACAGTACATAGAATACCCCGGTGTGTTTGTGGCTCACTCTGAATCTTCTAGCCCACTGAGGCAAACCCTCAACTGTCAACTCCTGTGCCAGCACCTCGACTTAAATTACAATTGTTCTATATCTTATAGAGCAAATTCTTTACTGAAATCAAGACTAATTTCCCATTTCACGAAGTTCGCCATTTAAAGATGAACGATGTCAGCATTTACTCTGTAGTATATAGGGGACCTGATGTCCTCCATCACTGAATTCCATAAGATGTGCAATGTCCAACACTACTGAGTTCCAGAGAATCTGTATGGCCCCACAAGGACACCTGGAGCCCATGCACAGTCCCTCCTCGCTGCTCCTGGCAATTACTGATCTACCTTGTGTCTCTATGGATTACTTATTCTGTGCAGTCCCAGTGGCTGGAAGCATCAGTCCATGGTATCGTGTCTGCCTTCTTTCATTTAGCATAATGCTTTCAAGGTTTCATCAGGAGGCGAGTGCTACCTCTGCCTTCTTTTTATTGCTGAACAGTTACTTCACTGTACCCATTGCAGAGTAAAGGCTTGGAATCCAGGGGCCAGGGTCAGGGAGGGAACTACCTGCAGAGGGAAAGCTGTGCGGAGGCAATAGGTGAGGGAGAAAGCAGTTCAGGGATGAGGGCTTCAGTTCAGGATGGTGGATTCAGACACAGGAGTGTGGAACCCTTAGTGTCCTGTCCCTCCTGCATGAGGCTGCTCTCTTCAATAAGCAGTGGCTAGTTAAGGACACATGGGGGACTGAATGGGATGGGGATATCCACATCAGACAGCAGCCAGCAGACATCAGGAAGGGGAGCCCTGGCTGGAGGTGTGCCTCCTTACTGTTGGTGAAGATTTTGGACAGCTCTGTCATCTTTTCTCTCAAGGTAACTCTCTGGGGAGGCGCGTAAAACGTCACTGATCATGAGGAGCTCATGTAACTGGACTGTTCTGTCTCAAGGGACCAGGTGATCTTGGTCCCATCCCTGGCTGTAGTACACAGGGTTGGAGGATTCCAGCCTGGGTACCCAACAGGCATGGCAAAGCTAAAGGTGCCTCTGAATGGGAAGGAAGGACAGCACTGGCTGTCAGAGTTCTGGCTTCCTGGGGTGGTCAGAATCACTTGGTTTTGACTGTTGCTGACCTTTGAGGTCCATCCTAGAATTTCCCCCATTGGGAAAAAAAGAAATAAACAAATCAAGTAGTGACAATAATTACAAACCTCTGAAATTTGAAACTAATTTATTCTCAGTCTCTATTGTTAATAGATTATTTAGCAAATGTACTTTCTAATTAAACACATAGGAAGATAAGATCATTAAATCATGAGCTGAGAATAAATTATTTTCAAATTAATTTCCAGTTCAATAATTTGAAATATTGCTTGCATGAAGCAGGAGGAGGTGGAGTTGCACTCAGAGACCATTCCTGGAGGCCAACAACCCACTGTGCTCGGTGATCATGAGTTTGCGGCTTGTTTCTCAGCTCCATCACATCTTAATCTACCTTAGATTCTTGCAAGCCCCTTGCTCATTCCCGACAGGAGTCCATCTCTCAGACTGCAAAGCATCGTACCAGATTCTCCCAGACAATTCCAATTTCACCACATTTAAATTTTCAACATGACTCACCACATGTGTAAATGACTGTGATTTCATTTTGACGATGCTGTGAGTCACCATCTGGATAATTTCATGATTCAGAAAGACATAACTGCCACTCCACATATTGAATTATTGGTTGGGAAATTGGATTATGGAAGTGGCAGAGACATACTTTCTGAGCCTGCTGGGGGAGGCGACATCTAAGGCCCCCACCTTAGAAGAAAAGGGGATCTTTCAGGTGACAGTTGCTGTGAACACAGGCCAGCAGTGCCCATTCTGGTCCCCAGGCCAGAGAGAGCATGCCTGTCTGAGGTTGGGCATTCCCTATGTGACGGTTGTCAGATGCAGGAACCAACCACACTTTCTGAGCTCATAAACGCTTGTCCCATAGGCTCTGGATATGCCACATCAGGGTACTGGGAACTAGCATGGAAAGAAAGATCTGTGCCCTGGGGAACCCTAAACTTAGATCACTGTAGTGGCACTTGCTGGGGAGCGCAGTGACCATCTCTCTCATGTAACAACCCTTTCCTCTCTCTGATTGCTCCCAGTGCAACAAACCACACAGCCTCGTGTCTTTAAGATATTGCTGAGTAAACTCTGCCCTCCTAGCACTGTGGGCTTTGCTTTATTCTGCTGAGCTGATGCACTCTGCTTTTACCAACGAAATCCATGTGGAAGGGCGTTCCAAACACGTACGACCACAAAATTACATCTGTCCCTTTACAAAACCTCTAACCATGCATTTTATATACTTATTATTTAACCTAATGCATTGCCCCACTCCAGTAAAATACAATTTTTCCTTCTGTTTAATACTATCAATCAAATATAATAGCGGGTAACAGGAAACTGGAATAAGAACTCTTGAACTTGGAAATTAGTAGCCCTCAACTCTGTGCCCTGTGGGACGTCAAACCCAACTTCTGCTCCTCAACTCAGTGGACTAGAAAAAAAGGAATTTTATATAATAAAATGGCAACAAAAATGGCCTGTCCTTGTAAGTAAAAAGGACTTCTAGCAGACAGAGTCAGGTTCAGGGTGCTGTGAGAGTGGCATTTTAAGTGCTTCCTAGGAACTCAGAGGGCCTCTGTCACCCCTGCCATAGGCACCATGGTGAAATGCTTTTAACTCAGTGTTTGAAGGCAGGATGTTTAGCTGGAGGGAACCCTGGGGCCATTTAAGGCCAGCCTTGCTTTTCCAGATAGGTTTTTGCCCAACAGATGTGGAAACTGAGGCCGCACTCGCTAAAATGCCATTAAAGTTCACAAAGGTGGCTAAAGGCCAAGCAGGACCTTAGACCTGGGTGTCTCTACTCTAGGCAGGCTGCTTTCCACCCCTCGCTGCTGGGGACATGCCCCCTGCACCCTCATGAGTCTCTCTCCTTTCAAGAAG